GGCGAGGCCGGGGACCAGGTGTGGAACGAAGCGAAAGACAGACGCCACAAAGTTGATGAAAGTAAAGCTGGGCCAAATTGAGTTTACTTTTACTGCTCCCCAGAAGTATGGAGAATTGAAAAGGGAGCAGGGGGAAACAAGAGAAAGGATTTTTCCTTTCGGAAAACTCAACTTCTAAAGAAGTGTTATAGCAAAGGGGTGGTACCTGCCCTAAACCAGGCCCAAGACGAGCCCTAATTCCCTCTCTCAGCCCCACACAGTTGACTGACGGTTCTGGGGCTCAGTAAGCTCTCAAACAGGCTTTTACATATAAACAGAGTAGAAAAAGAAACAGGCTGAAATGAAGGGGAAGCTGGGGATCTGGATAAGATATAAAGGTGAGCTTCCCCGGCGGGAAGTTTCTGGAATGAGCTTCTAGGGTGGTCAGAGCATTTCCTTCTGACCACTGTGTGGGCAAATGAAAAAGCTGAAAGCATCAAACACCAGAGTGTCCAAATCGACTCTCCTTTAAACTGGCTGACTCTCTAGAAACCTTCTTAGCTGTTTCTTTGTAATTAGTCAAGTATCTAATTAATAAGTTAACTAGTGAAAAGGTTGAAAGTTAACAGACTTCCTTGGACTCTTATTTACAGAGCTGCCCTTCAGCTGTAGGCACCAGGGCCAGCTGTGTGTCCACCTTTCATCCTGTCAAAAAGCTGATGAGCCAACTCACAGCAGGCAGGTAATAGTCACGTGATCCCTGCCCCAGGCCGGCCACCCACACGCTGTTTGCTCTGAAGAGCCAGGCAGTGGGGCTGTGAGTCACCTGGTCCCCAGCCCGACGGGCACTGGTAGCAGCAGGCTCCCACACTCACTGAGGAAAGGAGGGAATAAACAATGTCTGTTCACTGAATGAAGGAGAAAGGAAATAAACGACATCTGTTCTCACCTTAAAATGCACTGATTCAAAGGCTCCTCACGCTTGGAGCTTACGTTTTGAAATTAATGTTGTTTTCAGATGAGAAATCTGAATTCAACTGTAAACCAAACAAAATACAACCTTTAATGTTAAAATCTCCAAAGTCTTATCCGTTGCCGGTGGGAATGTAAAATGGCCCAGCCACTCTGGAAAACAGTTTATCTGTATCTTAATAAAAATGAAGCAGACACTTTATTATACATATGACCCAGCAATCACACTCACTCTGGCATTTCCCCAGAGATGTGAAAATTACATCCACCCAATAACCTATATGAGAAAAGAATCTAAAAAAGAATGAATAAATGTATATGCCATAACTACTGAAGCCAGCGCGCCTAGAGCCCATGCTCCACAACAAGAGAAGCCACCACCATGAGAAGCCCACGCACCTCCACGAAGAGTAGCCCCCGCTCACCGCAACCAGAGAAAGCCCGCGCGCAGCGACAAAGGCCCAACGCAGCCAAAAATAAAAATAAATAAATTTATAGAAAAAAAATTATAGGGATGGAATTAATAGTCTCCAGGGGTGAGAGAGAGAGAGAAGGAAGACAAGATGGGGTGACTATAAAACAGAAGCAGGAGGGGAGATCTTCATGGTGATGGAACGGTTCCGTGTCTTGCTGGTAGGGGTTACGTAAATCTACACGTGTGAGAAAATGGCATGGAAGTAGAGACAGAGCTTAGGAATGTCGGCTCCCTGGTGTCCTATTGTAAGAGAGAGTTATTACAAAAGGTGTGACTAACAGGCAGAGGCTGGGGGAAGGGTGTGGGAGGCCTCTCGGAACTTTGCAACTCCCTATCAATCTATAACTATGACAAAGGTTTGATAATGTGCATTTTAGTGTTAAAAACTCTAAAAGCCACTTAGGCAAAGATCGTTAACAGCAGGCTGTGGGGAGCAGAGATGGTAGGGAACACGCAGAGCCCCTGGTGTCTGGGCCATCCTAGTCTGTCATCATCATTGATACAAAAGAGCTGGACGCTGTTGGCAGCGGGGGGGCTGGCGTGAGGCCTCAGGGGAGCCCTCTGCTCTCCCTGTGTTTTTGGGCCCTTGTTTTATAAGAAGACCCTCGCTGTCTTAGGAAACAGTGGCTGGAGGAAGCTGTGCCTGCAGTCACCCCTGATGTACACCCTGGCCGCCCCCATCATGGACCACATCTGAATCCAGGTTATAGATTTTGCTTTCTCTGCCCCTTTTTGCTGGCCTGAGCTCCCAGTTTGAGAATCTGCTCTCTGGACTCATGGCCTTAGAAAAGCATACGCCTGTTCCTGATGCCTTAGGCCCCCCAGACTGAGAGTCTGGGACCGCCCCAAGGCCTGGGGCTCTGTGGTCAGCCCCATGGGTGGCAGCAGGCAGCATACCCAGGCGGCCGGGGACAGAGGGGCTTCTGCTATAGGCTTATCCTGCACTCTTCTCTCCAGCCCAGCACATCTCCTGCTCATGGGGATCAGAATCAACCACCAGGGAGTTCCCCGGTGGTCCAGTGGGTAAGACTCCACGCTTCCACTTAAGGGGGCGCAGGTTCGATCCCTGGTTGGGGAACTAAGATCCCGCAGGCCGCGCGACGCGGTTAAAAAAAAAAAAAAAGAATTAACCACCAACTGGACATTCTCCCGTCCTCTCCCGTTTACCTTCCCATCCGCACCCCAGATATGATGCACACTTGGTCCTATATTCCATGCTAGGAACGCTCATTTAAGGAGAGAGCAGGTGCAGGAGAGCATGTGCCGAATAAACCCATTAAATATATACTCATATGTGTATAAATACGAATATATGCACATACATGGATTAGAATTCTTTCTGTATTTTCTAAGTGTTCAGCAATGAACAAGGATTACTTACGAATTAAAACTGAAGTCGTAATGAGGAGACATCAGACAGGGCCGAATGGAAGGACATTGTGCAAAATAACTGCTCAGTATTTTCAAAAGTCTCAAGACAAAGATGGAGGGAATCGGCCCAGATCAAAGTAGATGAAGGAGTTACGGGCACCAAATGACATGCAGAATATTCTGAACTGGATCCCGGACCAGGAAAAGGACATTTGTGGGGAATTCAGCACAATCTGAACAAGGTTCATTAGAACAGTGGGTAGCATGGTATCAATGTTAATTCCCTGATTTTGACAGCTGTACTATGTAAGACGTGGCCCTTAAGGGAAGCTGAGTAGAGAGTATATGGGAACACTGTTCTACTGTTACTAGCGTTGCTATAAATCTAAAATGATTTCAAAAGAAAAAGAAATGAACGATATGGAACCAGTGACATCATCCCACCCCCTGAGATACTCAAGGCCCTGGAGCCCAGCATAACAAAGCACTTTTCTTCCCCACCAGGAATTCCGCTGCAGGAGCCCAGAGTCCTGGGGCTGTGGGCACCAGATGGCCCTTCTCAGGACTGCCGGGTACTTTCCTGACTCCTGAAGCCCCATGCCTCCAGCCTCCTGCCTTCCAGCCTCTCCTGGGGTCCAGGCCTTTCCCTCTCCTGCCCCCGAGCCTGGAAATCCAGCCTGTCCTTTGAGGTCCAACTGCAAAGTTGCCTCCTCAGTGACAGGCCCAGACCCCTCTCCGAGGTGACAAGGTCGGATGGCCTCCTCTTGCTGGTGTCACAGCGCAGGACCTTCGCCCCCTCAAGCACCATCTGACTGTAGCGAGGAAGTGCTCGCGGGCCTCTGTCCAGCAGACAGGGAACCTGGGAGGGCATGGGTCCTGTCGCCAGTGGCAGATGTGACTGACACGGAGCATGTGCTCCATAAAAAGGGGAGGGGTCGACCCCGACCCTGGCCGTTCTTGTGGCTGTTCCGAGGCGAGGGGCACACCTGGTCCAGAGAACTCACAGGAGCGCTGAGATGCCATCAGTCTGGCGGGATGCCCTGACTTGTATCCCCCTAGGGGCCAGGCCTGGCAGAAACCTGCTTCTTGGGTGGGGTTTCAGCTGGAGCCACCCAAACGTGGGGCCCACCCTGCCTGGCTTCCCTTTCTTTCTTTTTTTTTAAGGCAGTGCCACAGGGCATGCAGGATCTTAGTTCCCTGACCAGGGATCGAACCCGAGCCCCCTGCAGTGGAAGCGCGGAGTCCTAACCACTGGACCACCAGGGAATTCCCAGGCTTAGCTTTCTTGTTGACATCAATGGGCTCCCTTTAGCCAGTTTGCCAAAAGATCACTCAATCAGGCCAGCCTTCCAGGCAGATGACAGGGTGACAGGGCCATCAGTTCCAACTGGAAGTTGGAACCACTTTCTGTCTTTTTCTCCCTGCCCAGGGGCAGCACTGCCAAACTCAGAGTTGGTAAGAAAATATCACCCACAAACTAGATATTTCAGAAGGTGCTCGAAAACCAAAAGAAACTTCTCTGCCCTAAATTGTTCACCAGACTTGTGATCCCCGTCCGTGAAAAGGACATGGTGACAGCCGGCTCGGAGTGGACTCGAATTCTGTTCAACACTCTGGACCCAGCAGGGGTTGGGGCCCCGTTTCAGGTGCAGGGACCCGGAGAGGAAAGCAGTGACAGGTCGTTGAGAGCACCCAGGGCATCTCACACGACTGTTCTGTGGCAGATGTTATCATAAGCAACTTCCCACACAACTCCAAGTTCAACATTAGCTGACGTGACAATTAGGAAAATCCTGGAAGAGCTGCTCTCAGAAGGAAAGACAGAGTGCCCCCGTTGTGAACTTTAGAAAAGCACAAACAACAAGTAGTTGGAGAAAAGAAACCACATAATAAAAGTCCGTTCCCAACATCTTCCTGAGGACCCAGGATACTTTAGCAGTTCGCCCACACCTCCGATCACCAGGTCGCCTGCCCAGTTACCCCGGTGGGTTTCATTTGGGGAGGAGGTGACCCACCCATACTGCAGAAGCCCAGAGGTGCTCAGGGAAGGATTAGGGGACACCCAGCCTGGAGCCCCATGGGGGAGACTGGAGGCCACGGCAGCTCTGGCCTTGGAGCCCCTTCCCCAGGGAGCTGCTTCCAGCTCCAGGCCGGCATCTCTCAGCCCCCGCTTCATGCAGGTGGCCCCCAGGGCCGCACTCACCAGCTCGGGCAAGAAGAAGGCGTAGGGGATGGTGAGGAACAGCGCGACCCCCGAGGGCACTTCGGGCTGGGTGTAGCTGGTGGGAGGTGGGTCGCGGGAGGCCATGCTCTCACCCACTGCCTGGCGCCCTGGCTCCACAGCCCGTGCCCGCAGCCCTTCAAATATCACCTCCTGCCCGACACACCCATCAGAGGACGTTGCCTGGAAGGAAAAAAAAAAAAAAACCGTTCCAGCCCAGCAGGTCCTTCCACTGGCTCCAGCCAAGAGAATCCTCAGTGAAATGCGGTTTGTGCATCAGACAGGCTTTCGCCAGGGCTGGGGCAGAGTCGCTAAGGAAGGAGAGCCGGAGCCTCTTCCTAGACTTTTCCTCCTAAGGAAGTTTTGAATCCCAGGCGTGCTACTCCAGGGGAGGCCAGCTATAGCCACCACCCCAACCGGGTGCCCGGAATACAGGCTGAGCTGCTTGAATAACAAGGACCGTTTACTGCGGAGCTACTAGGAGCCAAGAAATCTGCAGTCAACTCTGGTGCTCCCCACAGCCCGGCACGTGACCGGGTTGCCCCTCTTCCAAGTGAGGAGACCAAGAATCTGCCAGGTCAAGTCAAGGTCACAGCATGCCCTGCTCCGGCCTTTTCCACCTTGGAGGCCTCAAGCCAGAGGGCGAGGAGCCGCTCTCACTTCCAGCTCCTGCCCCGTCCTGGGGACGTGGCACTTCCTTCTCTCTCTGCACCCTTGTCACCATCCTCCTCTCCTACTTTTCTCTCCCAGCGGAGGAGGCCTCCCTCTCTGGGAAGAATCCGCCACAGTGGGCACCCCCTCCCTGCCCCAGCGCCCCAGCTGGTGCTTCCAGGAGCCAGGCTTGGGGCCAAGCGGTTCCTTCCTGCCTTCCTCCTGCCTACTGGCCGAGCTCCAGGGCTGTGACCCAGCGATCAAGCGGCTCCTTTCCCTCTAAAGAAAGGGCCTGGAGATGTGGGCCCTTTGCCTGTCAATCTGAGAATCTGCCACCCTGCAGGAAGGCCTGGTGCCCCAAAGTCTGCTGGGGATGCTCGGGGTTTGGAGGTCCATTCTCCCTGCCCTCCGTGGCCTCAGTCCTGGAGTGGAGGGGATGTGGGAGGACTGCTCTGTGTGCTGGGGTCAGGAGATGTCCACCACAAGAGGCCAGTTCCTGAACAACCAGGGCCGGCCCTCCTGGGCACAGGTCGGGGTAGCAATCTGCTGGGCCTTTGCCTGGTTGGGAGAGAGCTGGGTGAGAGCCAGGGGACAGGGGAGTTTGGACAAATGAGCCCAAAGCAAAGTCACTGCAAGGAGAGGCAAAGGGCACATGGAGTAAATGTCAAGCCGGCCCGGTCATGCCCTCCTTCAGGCCTCGGGGGATCTAGCGGGGAAGTGAGGCCCTGATCCCACCTGCCTTCCAGCCCCACCTCATTTGCAGGATGAACCCAGCACAGCAGGCGCTGCCCCAGGAATCCCACCTCTTGCCCCATCTCCGGACTGTTGTAAATCAGCCGTGGCCACTCTCTTGGGCTGTAGGATACCCTGGACTCAGCCACCGACAACATGGCACATAGTCTATGGGAACAGCTCAGGGAAAACAAGAAGGAAAATAACCTTTCTCGGGCTATGACGTAGGTTTAATACCAGAACCTGGACAGGGCCTGAGCCCCTTCTACCTTCTGAGACAATTCATGTGTTTAGAAGGGACGATGTGACAGAACAAGGCTGTAAAAAATTTGGCATATTTTCAGCATTTTACATTTAGCCAAGTCATGTTTTATTATATGCGATGAAGTGTAGCACAATCTACTGAGGCTCTTCATAAGAAAGCTGTAGGATTCATAATGCACCACAGGCAATGGGATGCCGGGACAGACAGAGGTTTAGAGCTGTGAGAACATCTTCACCTTCCAGTCCAGCTGATGCCTCGCTGGGGCTGTAGGTGTGAATGCATTGTGAGACGAGGTCAGAGCCTGGTGTGAGGCTGCGGGTCACATTTTCTCCCTTGTGTGTTGGGGCGAGTTAAATGAGATATAGTCCATTTGAAAACTTCCAGGACAGTTCTGGCTAACGGCAGACGCTTTACAAGTAGTTGTCCATCTAATTCTAATCCTGAAATCACTTCTCTTTGCTTCTCCTTTCCATAGTAAGACCAGCACCTCCTCTGTTAGTATTTCCATCCTGATTTTTTTTTTTAAATTTTATTTATTTTTGGCTGCGTTGGGCCTTCATTGCTGCACGCGGGCTTTCTCTAGTTGTGGCCAGCGGGGGCGACTCTTCATTGCGGCGCGCGGGCTTCTCACTGCAGTGGCTTCTCTTGTTGCAGAGCACGGGCTCTAGGTGTGTGGGCTTCGGTAGTTGCAGCACTCGAGCTCAGTAGTTGTGGCTCGCAGGCTCTAGAGTTCAGGCTCAGTAATTGTGGCGCACGGGCTTAGCTGCTCCGCGGCATGTGGGGTCTCCCCAGACCAGGGATCGAACCTGTGTCCCCTGCATTCGCAGGTGGATTCTTAACCACTGTGCCACCAGGGAAGTCCCTCCATTCTGATTTTAAAAAACCATTTCAAAATTGTTTTTGTTGATGTATAATATGCTTACAGAAAAAATGCACAAAACATACAGACCATGAAACCACCACCCAGAGCAAGAAATAGAACGTTGGCAGACTCCACCCAGTCATTTCGCCTTCCCTTCTTCCCAGATGTCTGCTCCCGTGATGTCTAACCCTATCAGTCAGTTCTGCTTGTTTTTGAATGAATTTCTGTGTGTCTGGCTTCTTTCACCCAACATTATGCCTGGGAAACTCATCCACGTTGTTGTGTGCTGCTGTAGTTCACTCACTGCTGCACAGTATTCCATTGTATAAATATTCTACACTTTACCCATTCTATTGTTTATGAACATTTGGGTTATTTCAATTTGGGGTCTTAATTAGTAACACTGCTATGAAAATTCTAGAACATATCTTTTAGGGCATCTAGGTATGCATTTTTATTGGGAATATCTCAGGAATGGAATTGAGGGTCATGTGGTGTGCGTTTTTAGATAATGTCAAGCTATTTTTCAAAGTGGTTAAACCATTTATACTCCCACCAACAATGTATGCAAATACTGTTGCTTATAATTGATGTTTGCATGTTTATTATAATACACTTGGTGTTTGTGTGATATATATGTTCCTACTCTTTTACTTCTAACTTACCTATATCACTATATTTATAATGGTTTGTGTGTGTGTGTGTGTGTGTGTGTGTGTGTGTGTGTGTGTGTGTGTGTGTGGTTATGACCGAGTTGGGCCTTTGTTTTTAATCCGTTTTGCAATTTGCTGCTTTTTTTTTTTTTCTTCGTCTGTGCCACACAGCTTGTGGGATCTTAGTTCCCAGACCAGGGATTGAACCCTCGGCCATAGTGAAAGTGCTGTGTCCTGACCACTGGACCACTAGAGAACTCCCAATAATTTACTGCCTTTAATTGGTATTTTTAGACTATTTACATTTAATGTAATTATTGATATATTTGGATTTTGGTCTACCATTTCATTTTTTGTTTTTTATTTGTTTGCTCTGTGTTTCATTTCTTTGTTTCATCTTTTGGGCTTTCTTTTGGATTTTAAAAACATTTTTATTATTCTATCTTAATTCACCTATTGAGTTTTTTACCATGTCTCTTTGTATTATTTGTTTAGAAGTTGCTCTAGGATTTACAGTATACATACTTAACTTTCCAGTCAACTCAAGAGTACTTTGCCACTTCGGATGGAGTGAAGAACATAAAGGTCCCTTTACCCTCTTCTTTTCAGTTGTAGTTGTCATTCATGTTATAAATGCATATGTTGAAAACCCCATCAGACAATGTTATGATTTTTGCTTTCAACCATCATACATATTTTAAAGAACTTACTTAAGAGAAAAAATTAATCTGTTTACCCAGATATTTACCATTTCTGTTGCTGTTCCTTCATTCTTGATGTTCCAAGCTTTCCTTTGGTATCATTTCCCTTCTGCCTGAAGAACTTCATTTAGCATTTCTTTCAGAGCAAGTCTGTTGACAATAGATTCCCTTAGTTTTCCTTCATCTGAGAATGTCTCAATTCCACCTTCGTTCCTATAGGGTATTGTTGCAGAATATAGAATTCTGGGTTGCCAGTTTTTTTCTTCTTTCAGCACTTAAGAAATGTTTTGGCCTCTGGTTTTGATGAGAAATTCTCAGTAATTCAAACTGTTGTTCCCTCTATTCAATGTATTGTTTTTCTTTGGTTGCTTTCAAGACTTTTTTTCTCCGTGTTTAGTTTTATAGTTTGATTCTGATATGGCTGTGCATGGCTTTCCCTGAGTTTATCTTTTTTGTTGTTCACTAAGCTTCTTGAATCTGTAACTTTTAAGTCTTTCATCAAATTTTTAAAGTTTTCAGCCATTATTTCTTCAAAAAACTTTTTTTTTCTGTACTACACTATTTCTCCCCTCCTACTGAGACTCTGGTGACAAGAATGTTAGACCTTTTGGCATTGTCCCATGGGTTCTTAAGGATTTGTTTGTTTATTTATTTACTTATTTATTTATTTTTTTTAGGATTTGTTTATTTTTTTAATCTATTTCCTTTCTATTGTTCGACTGGACAATTTATATTGATCTATCTATATTGATTTATGTTGACCTATTGAACTATCTTTAAATTTACTGACTTTTCTATCATCTGCATTCTGTCATTGAGTTCATCCAATTAATGTTTTTCATTTTGGTTATTGTATTTTTTATTTCTAAAACTTCAATTTGGTTCTTTTTACATCATCTCTTTCTCTGATAAGACTATTCATTTCGAGGGGATTTGCCCTTACTTCTTAGAGCATGATTATAACAGCTGCTTTAATGTCTCAATTCCAACAACCATGTCATCTCAGACTTGTTGTCTCTTATTGTCCTTTCATCTTTCCCCTTTGAAAGATTTTCCTGGGTCTTCAAATATCAAATAATTGTGGATTTTACCTTGGACATTTTGAATATTATGTTATAGGATTATGGGTCTTCTTTAAATCCTATAGAAAATGTTGGTTTTTGGTTTGCTTTAGCAGGTGACCAACCTGGTTAGATGCAGGCTGCAAGTAAGTTCCTGTCTAC